AAGGTATAGTAAGATATTTAAACTAGTCTCTAATAACCTTAGTAAATACCTTATTAACATACCTTAAATTAATAGATTAACTTCTCTAGACCTTAATAGATAGGTTCCTCTTAATAAAGCTATCTACTTATCTCTTACCTATAGGTTAGGTATCCCCTATAGTATAGAGGATGTAATAGGCAAAGTCCTTAAGTTATTAATAGGTTAGTAGCAGCCTAAGGTCAGCCTAGGCAGTCACCTAAGTAGCCAGGCTAGCCTCTTAGGTAGCTAATAGTTACTAGAGGTCTTTAAAGGTAACTAATCGCTATTAGCAACTATTTATACAATACTAAAGTGTTAATTATAGTACACCCTATTACTTAGAGGTAACCTAATAAGATACACTACTTATGATGTTAGTAATTACCCCCTTGACCTTATCTTTGGTATATTGGACTATAGGGTATTGAAGAAGGTATTCTGAAAAAATGAAGTGATTTGATGAAAAATTGAAAATGTTGTGATAGTTTGAATTTGGAGGTTATCTAGAAAGTCGGTGGCTGGGAGGCATTTTTGGGGTGGGCCAAATGCAGGGGGGGGCCATAAGTGGGTGCTTTGACTTACCGCAAGGGTGGCTTTGCCATGGCGTTGAATTTGACAACCACCACACCTTTCGTCTGTAGCTTGCTGGGTCGTGACAGCTAGCTGGCACGTGCTGGGTGTAATGGTTCCGCCTACTAATTAACGCCGAGTAATTGCTTGGCCTTGCCTACGAGGGGTGACTGTATGCGGGCAAGACGGCTGACTACCAGTTGCCGCAATTTGATTGGCAATCTGGGCTTTGAAGCAACAACGGCGTCGGGCCGCTTGTCGATAATCCAGGAAATGTCTTGCATATCTGTTTCCTTGTTTCGGTGTGTATTGAGTAAGGTCTCGGCCTTTGATGTAAAAATCTCGTCGAGACTTATAGTATGGACTAAAGCTGGCTTGTGATCGCTTGTCTGAAAAGGAGTTTGTTGAGTGATGCCCTCTACTTTTGCATCTTTCCAAACTTTTGAGAGACCTGACCTTTGAAATTAGACCCATTAGAACATTAGACTGTGATGATTACGTACCCGGGATATTGAAATCGACTTGGAAGATTTCATTGTTCCATTTATAATAAGCTCGCATGTTCCTTGTCTTCGCGTACACCTCCTCTGAAGGAACAATGAAATTTGGGTCCTTCTCGAGCAGTTTTCTGAGAGTAGGGAGACTTGTTTGAAGTAAAATATCAATGTCAGCTGTCTGACGATTAGGTTCCCCATAGACTATCATGGCCAAACCACCGAATATGCCCCACGGAATGTCAGGGCCGAGGACCCGTCCGATCACTTGTGTCATGTGTATGAGGTCATCAATCTTCTTCGGGTGAGCCTCTGAGTTTGCCCGAAGCCGTATCCCTTCCTCATCATCATAGAAGCCTTTGCTGATATCACGAGTAACGAGATACTCCTGCTTGAAAATAGGCGATGGCTTTCTAGCACGGACTTCTTGACCGACTTGTTTGGGAAGCAAAGACTTACAGCCTTGAAGTCTAAGGCTAGATTGTTGGCACTGTCGTACAGGAACGGGGAGTCCTAGGGCTACAGCAGCTAGCAGCCACCAAGCAAAGAGGGTTTTAACAAAGAGACGCATAATGGGGGAGTGTAAAAACTAGCAGTATAAGCAGTGAAGAAGTAGTTATAAGGGAACAGATATATACAGCATTGGCTTTGGGTTGGGGTTATTTATATAAAAGTAATCAAGGTAATAGTACTATGGTGCCAGGCCGAAGTTTTATCGCCCCTGTCAGGTATCCCCCCACCTATCCACTAGCTGTTAACACCATCTAGCTATTACGTATCACGTAATACTACTAATATATATATAAGAGATGGGAAGGATGTTTAAATACTGTGGAGTAGTTTAAATTACTTAGAGCAGAAAACTTGTCTCTGTTATCTTGTAAGTTAGTATATAAAAGCAAACATATTAATTTATGTATAGTGCTCTAAGTAATATAGGATTGCTTTGTGCCTAGGCAAGGGAAATTCATAAGCCCCAAGAAGAAAATAAATAATTTAGCCTTACAAGTGTACTAAGCACAAGCGGTTACGGTTAACAGGCCGACACTCTGCGGGGCCAAACAGGGCATCTCGGACTATCTCAAAGTACCAACCCACCTCCTCTTAAGTCCCTTCTGTACCCTCTTCTGTCCCCACACCATCAACTTCAAATCCTCAACTCTAAGTCAACAAGAATAGAAACAAAGATTTTTCTATTAGTGTATACTACAGCCTTAAGTGTAATTACTTAGAAGAGAGCGTTTCCAGAGGTAAATTCTACTAAAAAGCTGATTTATGCTGTTATATTTTACATAAACTTTTAAGCTAATAGAGATATAGGTGTTGTCATAAGTTAGAGCACACAGCAGTGAATAGGACTATTTAGGTTAAAAAGGCTTGTTTCTATATAAGTGAAGGAATAGAAAATGGTGACCTATTTATAGTTGAACGAAGGTGAGATGCCACGTGATAGAGCATATGAGAGTGCTCTTACATAAGTCGGAAAGTTTATGAGGGTATCGTGACAAGTGTTTTCTTCTTTTTTCTCTAGAAAAAGGGTAGGCTGGTCTGTGCACTGGATCTGTGCGGAATAAGCGAGAGACTTCAAGAGGTACTTTGATGATTCAAGTGTTGCCCCACAGAGTGTGGGCCTGTTAACCGCAACCCAAAAGAATCTAAAATATTTAGCGATCCTAGAGGTATTTTCCTAGCGTAGAACATATCACTCCTATACCTACGTATTGTTGTTAACGAGTATAGGTATTTGGCCGTAGGCACTTTGGTATTTGGCCGTATATTAGCTAACCTATTTCGTTAGCTTTGCCACGCAGCCATAACAGGGCCCTACTAAGTAATGTATAACTTCCTAGAGATACAAACCCTTTTGCTAGGCTTGCCAGCTAAATTTCTTTTTAGTGTTAGGGTAAGTGCACATACGTGTACGCGTCTGTATTGTTATTATTCCTACTTACTAACTTATAATACGTAGCGTTTTAAAATCCTAATTATTTTACCCTAAGGATTATAATTAGTAAAAGAGTAATTATTTAGACTAGACTATTAAGTATTAAAGCTTTAACCTTTAATAAATACTTTCTTTATTGTTGTGACATATGTCCTACATAAGGCGTTAATTGCTGCTTGCGATTAACAGCGTCGTTTTTAGCACGACAGTTATAAGCCCAGTTCGCTCTAGTGTGCCAGAATAGCACCAGCCCCAGAGTTAGCGTCTGAGCGTCATAGACCTTGTGGGTTCGATTCCCACGTGTAGCCTGGTCTGGCAGAATTCTACCTAGGGTTCGATTCCTAATACAGGCTGGTAGGCCAGGGGTGTCGCTTCCCCTGTTAACTCTGACTAAGTATTAATGCTCTGCTTAGATTAGGGGTGTTAACTAGACTAAGTATAATGCTCTGCTTAGTCTGGGGGGTGTGTTGTGACATAGGTCCTATATAAGGCGTTAATTGCTGCTTGTAATTAATGGCGTTGTTTTTAGCACGACATTTATATATAGTTAGTAGTAGTATTAATTTATTATATTATGTCTTATATTAAATTACATCTTAAAAAAGTATTAACTTGCCTTGAAAACAAGCGTTTTTTGATAAATTTCTAACAGCTAGGTAGTAGTTTTATAACTAACTACTGTGAATCCTTGCTTTGTATTACAAAATCGTGGTACATTGAGGTTTTGCGAGCAGGCCCACTGCGTGGCTGTGGCAGTAGATTCACTTGACGAAATGGGTTAGATACGGCTAAATACCAAAGTGCCTACGGCCATATACCTACCCGTACCCGACTATACTGGGCCGTCAATTTACGAGGCCCGGTCCGTAGGAGCTACGGCTTCGCCTTCGCCTATGCCGACATCAGTGCACCACTACAGATAGGGGGCCGCTAATCAAGGGCCCGCTGACGCACCACCACACTAAGAGCTCCACACCGGCTAACTAAACCTGGACTAACCACACCTACAGATACATAGATTAATTACTACTTAATGCTTTTGTAGGAAGAATATATCCCCGGCACACCTGCAGCTCTAGTATACTTTACGGATACACCCGCCTTAGCTGGGTATCCAGCATTACATTAACTCTTGCCTTAGCAAATGCTGGGGCAAGTATTAAATACACTCAGTACTTCAAGTTGGTGTCAGAGGGCGCCGGCCCGTACTATTAGCCGGCGACTCTCTCTATCCTCCCTAACAACGCCCCGCCAGTCGCCCCTGGGGGGTGACTGGGCCAAACCCAGGGACCGCGTGGCATCACCTACGCTGTAGACATAGATATGCAAAAACTCACACTATTTTAAATGTCGCTTGGGACCCGGAGGAGCCGACTTACGCCGAATACGTCCGGACCCCCGCCGAAACGGCATTACTGGTGGAGCCTCAGGCCCCTCACGGATGGAGAGCACCTGATACCGGGCCAGTAAGCCAGTGGGTCCACCTGTTGGCAGATCACCGGGTCGACCGGTGGATCCATCCATCGGCATCACCATCGGTACCATATTGTCCGATCATAACTACTAGAGCCACTATCACGACTCATGAAGATAATATAGGACAGTAATATTTAACCTTTACCTAATCAGATTGTTTCTGACCTAGCCGCTTACACTATCGTCAATTTATTGCTAATCCTTTAGCTTTAGTACTTTTGTCTGTAAGAGATTTTTCTTCCAATTATAGACAGAAGTTATATTTAAATCCTTTATAGAGGCAGAAGACAAGTCATATCTTTATTTTTCCTAACTCCCTACTCTAAACCTCTGCGCTATAGAGGCAGAAGACAATCTTCATCTTCATTCTTCCTATCTACCCGTTCTGAATCTCTGCGCCATGTACTTAGCCCTCTTCCTTTGGTTAGCCGTTGTATTTACGTAAGTTCTGCCCCGACATATAAGTCAAGCCATTATACTCACAGTGGAACCAGATTCAGCAATGGCCAAGCTCTTAACAATATGATAAGAGAGCCCAAGTCCCACTTCTGGGACTGGTACAGCCCATACTACCCGGTGCCGTCAGAAATCGACCCTGCTGTACCTGCAGGCTGCAAGGTCACCTTTGTACAAGTCCTAAGCAGGCATGCTTCCAGATATCCCAAGTCCCCTGAGATGGAACGCGCCAAGGCACTTCTCGCTCGTGTTCGGACTGAAGTCTCGGGTCGTGTTCGGCCTGAACCCTCCAATCGCGAGACTCTGGAGATCCTAATGTCCAACGATTTGATACCCCACGAGTTTGAAAAGCTTACACCATTCGGCAAGAAAGAAGCCATAGACTCTGGTAGATCGTTTTTCAAACGGTACCAGGATCTTGCCGCTCACAACGACCCATTCATGAGAAGCATCGACGAGGACCGCGTCATTGAGACAGCCTCTCTTTGGAAGGAAGGATTCGATCAATCAAAGGGTTACGGTAAAACCACCAGGGGCATGGAGATCATACCTACGACAAAGGGCTTCAACAACTCGTTACATTATGGCGGTTGTCCAGCCTTTGACAGGACCGTTTCTAAAATCCACACAAGCACGGCCATGCAGTGGATGAACCGAAATTTTGAGCAGATTATAGCGCGTATGAACCGGCAGCTACCAGGGGTATATTTCGCGCCTGCTGACATCCAACGATTAATGAGGCTATGTCCAACAAACACAGTAATCAACGGCATAGAGTCAAAAGTTTGTAATCTCTTTACAACAGAGGAGTTTCGGGACACTGAATACGGCAACACAATCGGCCAATACTATTCATGGGGCCCAGGTAATCCATTAGGTGTAAGCCAAGGGGTGGGCTTTACAAACGAGCTTATTGCGCGGTTAACAGGAAGACCAGTAGTTGACCACACATCAACTAACACAACGCTTACTCAGAATCCAGCGACATTCCCGCTTAACAGAAAGATCTATGCTGACTTTTCCCGAAGCAACGTATTAGTATCTATATATAGTGCAATGGGGTTGTTTGATGGAGCGAGGCCGCTGAGTAAGACGCAAATGACACCGCTAGCAGAATCCGGGGGTTTCACGATGAGTAGGCTGATTCCGTTTGGATCTCGCATGTATGTAGAGAAGCTCCAGTGTAGGGACGAGGCGGAAGAGATGGTCAGGGTGCTGCTCAACGACCGAGTGATGCCGCTATCCAGCTGCGGCGCTGACAGACACGGCCGGTGCAAGCTGAGCAATTATGTGGAAAGCTTGAGATTTGCAAGGACTGGGGGGGACTGGAATAAGTGCTTTCCCTAGGTAACGAGGACAGGCAACTAGCAGGGGATATGAGACTAGCAATGAAGAAGGCTTAACTCCCCCACCTTACTTACGAGACATCCCTACATCTGAGACAGTATTATCACTATTATTACCACCACTATTACCACTTATTTCACTATCTCTACCGCCTACCTATATGTAACTTTTAGCCTTACTAGGTAATTTAGATGCCCTAGATTTATCTAGACTATCTATATTACTAGAATCTAGACTTTATACCTAGATTATTGTCTTTATAGGAGTAAGGGTGCTATTAGGTAATAAGTAGACTATTTTCTTCTTATATAACTATATATTATCTAACTAGGCTTATAATAAGTTAACTTACTCTTTTAAAAAGACTACTTTAAATACTTACTTATTATATCTTTTTATACTTTTCTAAATAAGTAATAAATAGTATAAGTATTTAACTTATTTTTACTTAGCTAAGTTAACTAGTATAATTAAGACTATAGATTAGTAAATTATTATAAAGTTAACTATAAGATAATAAATTTAGCTTTATCTTACTATTAGCTACTAGAATACTAGCTAGCCTAGGTAGCCTACTAGGCCTTAGTAACTAGTAGGTTAAATAAAAGGTGCTTTCTAGATACTAGCTATAACCTAGTAGCCTTCTAGCGACTCTTAATATTAATATTACTAATAAATACCTCATAGGCCTTAAAATAATACTTTAGAAATACTTTTTTATTAGTAATAGTTAAGTCTATTACCTAGTTATTTAGATATCTAATATTTTAGTAATAAGCCTACTTTAATATTATAAGTAAGTTAGGGTAACTAACTTTAGTATAAAGTAAAAGCTTTAGTAATAATATACTTATATTATTATCCTCTATTCTATACTATATAGTTATATTAGCTAGTACTTAACTAGTTAGATTATAATACTATATCTCCCCTCTAAGAGGTATATCTTTATGCTTAGTAACTAACTAAGTATATTATAAGTATAAGTAGAGAAACTCTAGTAAGGGTAAAAGAGACTACTCCTATATATACTACTTATAGTTAGAACGCTAAGGACTTTAGAAAGGGTCTTATTTAGCTAGTAGCACTAGGATTTAAATCTATACCCTTTATATAAGGTAAGTGTTATTAAATATAGTAGAGCTATATATAAATTTACTAGTAAATATATAGTTACCTTATAGTAAGTTACTAAGGAATAGGTAGTAAAATTACTTTACTTTAATAGTAACTTTACTTATAATATAGCCTTCCTAGTAGCTATTATAGTTCTAACAAGATAAAGCTAGGCTATAGTAGTGTTATAAAGTAACATAGTATAAAGGCAAAGCGTAATAGCAGAGTAGTAAAGTAAGACAAATAATAATAAAGAGCTAAATAAATAAGATAAGATAAGATAAGTAATAAATAGAAGGTGTATTTATTATTAACCTTTCTTTTATAAAAGGTTACCTACTAAAGGGATATATACCTAAGGTATATATAACGTACTATATATATATTAGGTATTTAGTCTTTACTATTTATTTATTTCCTAACTATAGGCACTTACTACCTTATCTTATAATAAGTACCCCTCCTTAAAAAGACCTTATTTTCTTTTACTAAATACTTTAAGAGCTAATTAAGAAAGTAATAGCTACTATTTCTTATCTTTTTTATATTATAGCCTTATATCTTAAGGTTATCTATTTATATTCTAACCTTACTTTTTACTTATTATTATTATTACTTAAGTTAATAGCCCTAGCTTAGTGCTTTTTTCCTTATAGGCCTATAAGGCTACTAAGTTCTTTTACTAAGTAGAGTTACTTATTACTTCTACTACCTAAGCTTATATTACTAATAACGCTTTAGGTAGTAGTATATATCTTTTACTAAAGGTAGAGTGTTTTTATAAGTAAAGTAACCTAATCTTATAACTATTTAAAATCCCTAGCCTTAAACTTATTAAGGGTATTAAGATTATCTATCTTATAGTTAAGGTTCTTAACTTTATTTTTAATAGTATTAATCTATTTCTTAACGTTATTAATTTAGGCTGCTTACTAGTAAATCTTCTTAGCCTTAGTATATAAGCTTTTTTTAATAGCCTTATTAATATTACCTTATACTACTATAGCTACTTTAGCCTTATTAATAGCTATTACTAAAGTAGTAGTGTCCTTTATATTTTTATAAATTAACTTAGTATACTTATTAACTTTAGTAGTAAGGTTAGTAACTTAGTCTTTTAGCTAGTTAATTAGGTGTAATTAGCCTTTTATATAGTAAGTATATTAAATTTCTAGTATAAAGATATAGTCTAGGCGCTAGATAAGTAAGAGGGTACTTATAATCTTAGAATTACTTTACTTAGGTTAGTATAAAAATATAAAGCTAATTAATACTATATAACTAAGAAGTTCTTTAGACTATAGTTTACTTTTTTTATAATTAGTAAGGATAATATCTATAGGGACTATAATTTATTATTAGAAGTACTTATCTAAGGTTAAGAAAGTATATAAATATTTAGTATTAAAGCTTTATTAGCTTATATAAAAGCACTAGACCTGGACCTTAGTCTTTTTATATAGTATTTAGTTACTACTACTATAAAAGGCTTTATTAAGGTATATAATTACCTTTTTCTTAATAAGGATTATTAACTTTTTACTAGTAAATATATTCTTATATAAGGTAATAAGTACTTTTACTTTAGCTACTATAGTAACCTTTTTTACTATTTTATTTTTAGTTTTCTTAATAGCACTTTATTTAGTTAATAGTATACTATCTTAATTAAGTATATTAAGGTATTACTTAATATATTTATAAAGCTTATTATATTTCTTTTATGACTTAACTATTTTTTATTACTAAATATATTTATTAGCTTTCTTAGTCTTATTATAAATATTATCTAGAAGTTTAATTTCTTTAGTTAGGACTTTAGACACCTTAAAGTTCTTACTATTTACTTTATTATTATTAAAGTTAAGGTTAAGATCTATATTACTAGTATCCTTATTACTATAGTTAAGGTCTTTTATAGTAGCCTTATTATTTTAGCTTTTCTTACTTATACTACTTATACTAGTGTTTAGTTAGTTATTATCCTAAGCTAAAGGATTAATAGGGGTAAAGCTAGGTCTTATAGCGCTACTACTATACTTCTCTATAAGCTACTAATTACTAGTAGCACTAGCCTAAGTAAAGTAGTTAATATACTTAGATATCTTATTATTATTAATATTATTATTAATAAATTTACTAAAGTTAAAGGTATCTTAATTAAAGATGTCTTTAAGTAGGCTAAATTTACTTATAAAGTCTTAGGTTTTTTTAATAATATAACTATAAGGTTATATATTATATTTACAATTAGCTTTAACTACTACTAGCGTTATAAAAAATAAAGGTAAATTATAATAGGAATTAATAAGGGGGTATTATAAATTAATTTAGAGGCGTTACCCTTATAAGGGCGTTATTTTCTATCTTCTTAATTAGCTTAAAATTTATTACTGGTATAACTAAATTCTACTAGACCTATAGAAGGTAGCTTATCTTTTTTCTCCCTCCCTACTACTAGATTAATTTAACCTTAGTTTTATTTATACTCCTTATTTACTATAGTATTACTAGTAAAAGCTAGAGGTCTTTTATAGCACTAAACTTAGCCTATTTTATAATGCCTAACTTAACTAACTTATCCTCTTAGTATAGGTTAGACCTTTTAAAAGTAATAACTAACTAATTATAACCTAATCTTATTATCTAGTGTCTTTTTATTATTTTTTATATTAATAAGTAGCTATCTTAATATTAGCTAATTCTATAGAGCTAAAGACCCTTAAAGGTAATATAACCTTATTACTAAGCTTCTAGTTAATACCCTATATAATATATAACCTCTTTTATACTATAAACTATATTACCTTAGTATAAAGCTAATACTTTACTTTATATACTATTTCCTTAAGGGAATAATAAAGACCTAATAGACTACTCTCTTATAACTTTCTTTAGAGCCTAGCCTCTCTCCCCTTAATAAAGAGTCTTAGCTACTTTTTTATCTTATTATATAGTAGTTTAATAGTGCCCTTAAGCTTATTAAATAGGCTCTTAAAACTACTTAGTAGGCTTTTAGAAGTACTTAGTAGGCTTTTAAGACTACTTAAGAGGCCTTTAGGACTAATTAATAGCTAATAAAAGCACTCCTTTAATAATAAGACTTTATTTTTTAATAGCTTAAATAATAAGGTCCTTAAGCTAATTTATTATATTTATTACCTTAATAATAATTCTCCTTTTAAAGTAAAGTATTTTTTTAAACTATAGCCTCTTACTATACTAAAAGTAACTAATTTGTTTTTTTTTATACCTAATATTATAAACTTACTAATACTTAGTAATTTAGAATAAACCTTTAATACTTTTTTTAATTAAGTTAATACCTTTATAAAGGCTAATAGATTTAGTATTATAAAAAAAAACTAATATAAAGCTTAAGGCTAAATTATATAGTATACTATTTAATATAACTAATTTAGGAGCGCTTAGGCCTTTAA